GCATTGCGCATATTTTCACTATGAAAATCTTCCCTAATAACAAAAGCACAGTCGTGTGGGAAAGTCAGTAGCCTATTGCGCCCCTCAGGGTCAGCACGCGTAATATAAATCAAACCTTATCGAGGATCGTGAAATTTATACGATATTGCGGTTCGGAAATCTGTTAATAATTGAATTATGTGCAGGAAAAATAATTAATACATTTTATCAACATATTTGTGTGAGAAAAACACTGTTAAACAAGACAATAAGTGATAAATATTTGACTACTTTTTGAACAAGTGCAAGGTTTTTTTAAAACATTTGTTGTGCTTAAAAAATAGAAGATATTCAGATAAAATTATTTGGATTTTTTCCACTATTTGTCAGGTAATTTACTAAATAGGAAAAAAATGTTATGACTTATATTCAATTTTGTTAAATTATTCAAATATGCGAGTTGTTAAGAAATGACTACAGTATTTACCTACTCAAATTTTAATTTTTAATTAGAGAAGTTAAATTTATAATCTGTATAATTGTTAATTTGTTTGCATCGCAAACATAGAAATAATAGAGTTCGAAGTTTTTTTAACACTTTTATGAAATTTATCAATACAGAAAAAACAAATATATACTATTACATACACAGAAAATCTGTTAACTAAAACCCAGTTGTTAAGCTATTAATATTATATATAATCAATTTTTTTTGAGGATTGGAACTTGCAATCCGTTTAGTTTTTTTATAATCGGTATGATTTTAACAACATGTTTGCATTGTAACTACAAATTTTTTTTTAATATCTATCTAATTAACCCGAACGTAAAACAAATGCTAGGTAATAAATATATAATTTTTTATATGATTGCATATATCGTAAGCGTAGGCATAATAAAGATGGCTTTTTTCTAATATTTGCATGAGTTTTATCCGAGTATACAAATAAATAATATAAAACAAACTGAAATGCTGATATCTGAAAAAATGTTGTTAAGATGCTAGTTCTCATCTTATCCTCAAAATAAAATAATATTTAACTTAAAAAAAAAATTAGAGGAGTTGAATTTAAAATCCGAATAATTTTAATAATATATTTACATTGCAAGCGCAGATATTTTATACATTAATTTTTTTTAATATTTCTCTGAATGTGTTACCCGAATGTACTCGCAAAACAAAACTAATATAATTTTTTTGTTCGCAAGTAACACAAAAATTAATAAATTCTCACAATATTGCAAAGTAATGAAATTGGATTTGTTGGCTAGTAATTCCGAACTAATTTAAAAATTACTTAATTCATAAAATTAATTAGAATTTTTGCGACTGTGATTTAGTTAATAATTGAAATATATATCTATATTTAGAAGTACAATATACAATCTAGAACAATTTTTTTTCTATAGAATTTTTTGTAATATACGTAAATTTGTAATTCTTGAAATAATAATCTGTATAATTATAATAACATTGGTAACGCTAAAAAAATCTATCACAAAATAAAACAAATACTATATAATGATATAAAATGATAGTAAAACTTTTAAGTGAAAACGATTTGTTAAGTAGATACTAGTACAATTTATACTAAAATAAAATATCCAAGGAAATTAGAGAAGTTGAATTCATAATATGTATAATACATGTTTTAATTGCTAGCATAGAGTTATAAGAACTTGAAGTTGTTTTAATATTACAATTAGAATAAATTCACCTGAATATAAAAAATCACTTCAACATGAATCGAAAATTTTTAATTAATAAACTGTTACTAAGATATTATTACAATTTATACTCAAAATGAAAAAATATTTAGGTTTTTAAAACAAGAAGTTGTAATCTATTGTAATTCCTTTGAAATCGTAGGGACAATATGTCGCGTTTTTTTTTAATATTTCTGTGAAATTTATATAAATATAAAACAAATGCAAATAAAATTATTAGAGAAACTGCATAAATATTTTTATCTGCAAGTAATACAAATGTTATTTAAACTTAAATAAATTTAAACAGGCTAATACAGTACCTAAAAAAAAAATCAGTTTTTGTTACCTAATAAGTTAAAACTAATTTAAAAATTACGATGATATTATTATCCATTCTCTTTCTAAAATATTTAATTGTGCGTACTACTGAAAACAATTTTTAATGATAAACAATATTGACAAACAACAATTTAGAATAATAATTTTTGAATTTTTAATATTTTACATAATTGAAAGAATGTCAAATTTTTATATAGTACCTATTATTTCAACTTTATTAATTAGTCGCAAAATGTATTGAGGTGAATGAAATTTATTTATTCAAGACATTTGTGAGAGGAGAAGGTTTTAAAAGGATAATGACTTTTTCTAAATATAAGCAATACACCTAATTTGTTTAGAATTCACTACTATAACTGAAAAACCAAATTCGAGTTAAAATTTAAATTAACAGAATTCACTATGATTATTACGTGCCAATGCTTTATATTTAAACAAAAAGAAATACAATTATTAAATATTAATCTATAATTGGATATTTATGCTACATATTAGCAAAAATAAACAAAATTATTTCTTCCAGTTACCAGCGATTCCATTAATTTAAAACAACTTGCTGACTGCGCCTCGTGATTGAAAATTTCTTATCATTACCTAAGTCAGCAATAAATAAAAAGCTTATGTATTTTCTTTATATATATATATATATATATATATATATATATATATATATATATTAAGCTTCTGTCCGCTTATTTTCTAGCGAATATTAATTTTTCATTTTGCCCTGCTATTCATTCTGCAGAAATTTTGATTGATGAGATGTTGGTACCTTGTTTATGAACCTTTCACCCATACTTATTTTAAAAACGTTTTTCAAGTTTCTAAATATATCACATATTTTCTGTATTATAGTCAAAGAGCTGACTATTTGAATTTTGTAATCGGAAGCTTTTACATAAAAAAAATAACAAATCATTAGAAGATTGTAATATAACAAAATATTTTTAAATATTATATACAATTAGAATTCAATATTTTCATCTATGTATTTCATACTTACGGTGAAATTTAGGTTAATTTTCAATTAGGCATTCCTTCTCTGCTTATTTTTTCTGATAAATTTTACCTTATAATTTTTTTTAAACTCTGTTTTATTCAGCAATCAGAAATACATAAGGATTCCTATAAGCTAAATTGACAATATTTGAGAGCTATGTCTAAGAAAAACTCCAATGAGATCTTCTTGGTTTAACAATTGATAAGATAATCATAAAATATTTACATTAAATTTTCTAGTTCATAGCAAAATAACTTATAGAATCATTCTGAAATTATCGCTGTTTATTAATTAATAAAATACTCTAGTGATGTGCCAAGTCAATTCAAGTGATTCGAATCATTTAAGTTAAGCCCATAAGAACTTGATTCGAATCACATTTCATTCTTGATTCGAATCAACACAAATCAAGCCCAAAAATATTTACTGTGATACAATATTATATGAACATCAACTTTGATAAATATAAAAAAAATATGAATTAAAATATAAAAATAAAAAAATGATTTAAATCGTGCGAGCTACCGAATTTAATCGAATCATCCAAGTTATTTGCATTCGAATTCATTCGAATTAGGCTTTTGTCTGATTCGAATCATTCGAATCGGGAAATTTTTTAGAAGGTACATTACTGTTTGAAAGAAATGTATTTAAAGATTAGGTAATCTCCACAAGTTAAAATCAAATTAAAATTATTTACATATTATTTTTAGTATTAATTTAACTAAAAATTTCTTTGTATTCTATTTAATATTTTTTATAACTATAAAATAATAGATAAGTTAAACTTGTATCTTTGAAAAAGCTAATTACAAGTGGTATAATAAATTTTATAATATTAATAGAAAAACGTTCAAGTTCATAAATATTTTGCTTAGAAAATTTATTTTTTATATTATATTATATAATATGAAATGTATTTTATGTGAATATAAAATATTATTTCACTATCATGTATCAATTCGCAATAACAGCCCAAATATAAATATAAAGAGAGCATATAAAGAGCTTACGATTCCTCCGATCATATCATGCAAAATATAAAAAACGTGGTGAAAATCAAATTTGGCCTATTAAAATATTGCAAAAATGTTCAATTTTAAATATTTTGTTTCCTGTGAAATACTATGAATTGCATGATTCTGGTATTTTATGAAAGGGTTGAGTTATAATCGTATGATTTCATCGATTTAATCATTGACAATTTTAATTTATGTGAAACATTTCAGACAATTTGCGTGTAACAGCATATCTTAAAGTTAATTATACTATTGCAATTTTATAATTGAAAAAAATGTAGAAATTTGAAACATATCATTTAATCCTTTCAACAGAATGAATTAGAAATGAGAGGTAGTCTTAAATTCGTTTAATATTTACTAAGTCAATCGTACACAATTAAAGAACAATTACTTAAAATATTTTTTCATAAAATAAAAAGCAATACACTTAAAACTGGCTCTTCAAAATGCTCATTCGCAAAACTTCCAACCAATTTATTTGTCTCAAACTACTACTTTTTAAGAATTATTACTTATCTTTATTGTTTGGTTTGTGGAAATGCGATTATTTGTAATTATAATTTCAATCTTTATAAATATTGTAATATAAAATATTTGTTTACAAAAATAAAAATTATGACACCCAGAAAAATCAATTAAATTCAAATTTACTTAACACTTAGGAATATTGATAGTATTTCATCAGATCCATTAATTTTGAATGTGGCAATAGATTTACGTCAGATGCCATTACAATAAAACAATGACAGTCACATATAAGTAATCATTTAACAAACGTCAAATATAAATTATATTTTAATCAAATCGGAATAATATTTTATTATAATTTTTATGAATAAAAAAATATTTTCATGTAATAATATGTAAATAAAACAAAAAATAGAAATACAAAATCACAATCACAAGAATTAAGAGACAATTTAACGTTAACTTACTTCATCGTACAAAATATGAAGTCTGCACTTAATTTTCCTATAGGATATTTACCAAATGCCGAGAAAAATAAAATATTCGAAATTTTTAAGGTAGTACTTGAGCGAATGCTTTTAGAACTACCTGAAGATCATGTAATGTTTATGAAAAATTATTTTAGAAACGCTCAACAAATGCTAAACTCTCTCAGAGTGATAATTTATGGCTCTCCTAGTTTTGAAAGCAAAAAACTGGCAGAAGCTTTATCAGCGGATTCAGAAATGCTTGTAATAAGTAGAAGACAATTTTTAAATTTGAACAGTAATGCAGAACACCAACTTAATCTAACAACTATAATTGGCAAGTTAAAAAAAATCATTGAGCAGGAAGAAATAGCTGTCGGTGGTTGGCTTTTTTATGATATGCCGACGTCTAGACACGAAATTTTGCAATTTATAAATGCAGGAATTGATCCAACGCACGTGTTTTATATTGATACTTGTATCAATTCTCCAACTGCTTGGCATTCGTATGATCAATTTTCTCAATACAGGCGAAAATTTCTACAACACGTATTGACAGCAAAACAGCTTTATGGAAACTATTTAAAGGTAATTAATGCGGGAAACAGAAACATGATGGAAATTGCGTCGGAGTGCTCAAAACTTTTGCAGTATAAGTATGGTTTTCATGTTCCAAGATATCCAAGAATTTTATTAATTGCCCAACGAGGATGCGGCAGAAAATGCTTGGCATTAATGCTCAGCCAAAAATACAATCTAGAATTCATTGATTTTGAATTGCTATATAGACAAGAAAATCTAAACTTAAATGTAGATCATCGACGTGATACGTCGCACGATAGTGAATTGAGGTGTGCACCGGAGATTATTATTACTATCCTGGATAAAAAGCTAAGAGATGTTGAATCTCAGGGTCATGGGTGGATCGTGGTTGGGCTGCCCATTGATTGCACCATTCTACATGCAATTTGCTCAATAACTACACCTCCTAACAAAATAATATTTTTGGAAAAACCTGGTAAATTGTGCCTTGATAATACAACGCAGCGATATCAAAAGCCATTTATCAGTCAGCAAATTAGTTTGTCAAATTCCTTCAAAAGTGATCTGAATGAGAAACCAACACATAGTGTTTTACATCCTAAAAATTTATCGGAATTGGCAAAAAAACATATTAATCAGCTAGAGAAGAATTGGCATGCGATGAAGAAAATATGCGAACACAATGCTTTAACGTTTTATTTAAATGGCGATATATATACTGATTCAACATATCGTGGTGATATATTTGCAATGATCGAACATGCTATTATAAACTGGGTGCCATCTACTACCGTAAAACAATCCTCAGGACAATGTGATGAAGAAGTTGGAATATCTTTTTCAGAATTTGAACACAAACATTATGAAGGCGATAAAGTAATAACAATTAAGGAACGAAGAGATTGCAAACTTAACACAAAAAATATAAATACAACTGAAGATATGATGAGCATGTTGAGTTCACCATTGGGATCGATGGATTTTGCAGAAAAACCTCTAATAACAAATAAGGATACGGTAATCAACCTAATGGATTTAGCGAATATGGAAATAGTTGGATCGGCGCATAAACAAACAATCAGAAAATCGATACCACCAATTGACACATCCAAAATTGAAGTACTCTTATCGGTTTCCACTCCAGGATCATCTGAACGTACAAGAAAAAATTCAACAATTCCGGCTTAAGAAGCTACAAGCTGGCAGAATGACGCATTATTTTCTCTGTAATATGAACAATTCAAACAATAAATTCAAATAACATCACATAACATAAAATTTGCCAAATTAGTTACAGTAAAAAATTATAAAAATTTATTTTGCGATAAAAGTGCAAACAAAATTTGTGAGTGTAATATTATTAAATTAAATAAACGTTATTATTACGGTAAAAAATTGACATGTCATACTATTTATTATTGTTAACTAATGCGATTATTTGTAATTATAATTTCCATCTTCATAAATATTGTACTATAAAACATTTGTTTACAAAAATAACTAGTGGTGTATAGCATCGTGCCTTAACAGATAAAATATTCGAGCAAAAAAAAAAAATATTGATCAAAGAATAATTACAATTGTTTTTAATATTTTCAAAGACAAAATTAATATTACTATTTATTTATTCGTTCATATAATTTTATTTGAAAATCTGAAAATACGGAATCTAGGTACGGAACCCAAAAAAATTGTAACAAAATTAGTCCACCTAATTACAATCTTTACAAGATATTTCCTAATTTAATGTGCATATGTCTAATGATCATTTTGTACAGCCAAATATCATTTTTGTTACTTTCTCCTCTGTATCACCGAAACTGTTAGACCTGCCTTACCAATTTTTCATTTTATCAATACAAGTAATATGTTTTTTGAATCATTCAAATCGGGTACTCCGTTTTCTCAAAAACTAAATTACCGTTTTTGGCACTTTTTGCCCCGTATCTTCGAAACAGCTGCACCTGTCATCATAAAAAAATAATCAGCATGAATTTTCATCCACAGGAATCGAATGTGCTTTAATCATTCAAATCGGTTAATTTGTACGCCCAGAATCGTGGACACTCACATACATCCATTTTTTCTAAGGTATGCCAAAATGTTCAGAAATTTTTGAAACGTGAATATATGCGATTACTATCACTTATCCTAGGGGAAGTTGCAAATTATGACATGTCAAATTTCCTTTTGTTTCAATCGACGCCCAGATTATTATAGTAAAGTAAAACTTCAGTTTCATACTTAGATAAAAAGTTACAAGCTCTTTAACAATGAAGTCACCGCTTAATCGTGAATTATGTTCCAAGTCATTATCAATCAATATTTTCTATACTTTACACTTCATTAAGTAATAGATGTAGTGTATTATAGCATAGGAAGCTTTCGTTCATGTCATTGATTCATAAAACTAAAATAATCAATTTTGTAGGCCAGGCGCCATAATATGAGCACCACCAATTCTGTTCAATTTTTTTTACCCGAGATGGCATATAAAGAGAAAACTCATGTGGAACCCACCTTGTTTTTTATACCATTTTCAGCGTATTTCGAAAAAGGCAGGTACAGAAAAATTTGACTAGAAAAAAATCTGTTAAAATGAGTTCTCTTTATTTGGTATCTTAGGTAAAAAAGAGTTTCACACTTTCACAAAAAAATTGTCAATTTAATTCATTCAGTTTTTAGATGTCCACAACTCTGCACACACTAGAATGTAACAAAAAAAATTGTCAAAAATCATTAGTTTTAAATGCTCCAAATATTAATAGCTTGGTTTATCACTGTGTAATAGTGTTGTATATTTCTGTGTAATTAATTTTCTGTAAGTATTTATATATAAATTTATAATTTTTTTTTCAATTTCCTTCTACATTTTTTATAAAATCTTTTAGTTGTTCCACTGAATGACGGTCCGAAACGAATGGCCAAATCAAGTTTTTACAACTACTTTAGTTTTTCACTTGGTGTTACTGCCCGAATCAAAATAACTCATAACTAGTGTAAATAATCGACTAGAACATAAATTAATTTATGAGTGACTAAAGATTGAAAACGAACAGACACGTTAACTCGGAATATTTTCTAAGGGTAAATTTTCAAAAATAAATAATTTTTATAATTGAATTAGTTTCCGTAGGACTTTAATGCTTTAGCACATTCATTAAGACCAAGCACTCTATCGTTATACCAAGTAAATCGTCTAATTTCAATTTTAACAAACGTCAAAAAAAACTACTCATTTTCTCAAACTTTGATGAAATTAAACTACTTAAATATGGACGAAACGTTTAACACTTTTTTCCAAGTTTAACCAATTTTTGCAAACTTTGACGAATTTTTAAAGTGAAACGAGTTGTCGTAGGGCTGTAATAATTCAGTATGATCTGGAAGACTATGGTATCTATCGTCAAAAAAATAATAATAAAAATCATCGAAAATTTTTTTTAACACTTTATTACAATAAAACAGACCGGCCGATCTCTACCAAAAACTAATCAGCACCATTCGCAATCAATATCTTACGAACAGTTTTTGAATTTTTATAATCGATTCAGAATTGCGGGCTAAAACGTGAACGAAAAATTTTTCACTTTCCTGCGATTCACAAAGAAACGGCTCGGCCGATCGTAGCGCAAAACTGACAAAGGATAGTCTTCATCGAGATACATCGAATTGCTTTTAAATGATTGAAATCGGTCCAGCCGTTTTTCAGAAAATGTCGATTTACGGCAAAAAATCTGTTCACATACACATACACACACACATACTTTCTCCAAATTTAGTCTCATTCGATTCAGAATGGCTTGAAACGTCGAGAAAACACAAAATTAGTGAATCGGATTTTTTGATGAAAACATAAACTTCTCCTTCGGGAAGTTAAAAATATATATCTATATCTATATATCTATATATATATATATATATATATATATATATATATATTTGTATATATTTGTATATTCTCTTATGTACATTCTTTAAAAGCTTGATCGCTGAAGATGCTATTATTTGCCAAGAAGCGATCCGAAGATAATTTGATTGGATCGCAGCCAACCTATTGTTATTTTAAAGTGTAATAAAGTTAAGTAATACTAAACAACTCGCCAACTTGAATGGAGCGGTCATTTGCCATTTTGTACACGGTTAGTAACCGCAAGTCAATTGCCTTTAGAATTAAATGTTTTCTCTTTCGTTAAGGATTCATTATCCTGTTAGGAAAGGTCCTTAATGACTGTTCCCACAGGTAAGGGCGTTGTGAGAAGAGTTTGTGTGGTTGTAACGCAAACGATGAATGTATTGTTACAATATATTAAGATATATATGAGATTGACATACAATCAATTTGTTATAATAATATAATAATATAATTCTATATTTGCAACATAATTACTAATATGATTTCGAATTTGCCCATCAAGCAAATACCCATTCATAGCAACATTACGTTCTAATTTAAAGTAAAGTTTGATTTTTCAAAATGTCTGTTAATACAAAAAAAACCTAAACTGATTAAACATTTCTATGAATATTTTAATCCATATATTTTGTTGTGGCATAGACAAATCCTTTAATGTTAGTTTCAAAATATAAATCTTCATTTTTATATCTAAAACGTACGAAATTTCAAATAACTGTGACGCATAGATATTTTTTTGTTAAACAACGCTTCAAGTCGTAATTAATATAATTTTTTGTAACAAAATTTTAATCACTAAAATTAAAGTTAACTAAAGTAAATAATAATCAATTAATTATTTTAAGAAAAATCTTATCATATATGATATGATAAGTAAATAAATCATTGATCATTTCGAACAACATATCGAACTTCTTTTAGGGTAAGTTATTGTATTTCGCCCAGAAATCAAAAATGATTTTTTGCATATCTTTACGTTCCAAAGATTTTTGAACATTTTGGTATTCTTTAAAAAAATGGTTTTATGTCTGCTTTTAAGGGGGTATTCTACTGTAGAATTTTGAAAAAATCGATTTTTTTTTCATATTTTCAAAGTTCAGTTATTCAAAAATATTTCATTAAAAGGATTTTTCAAATCACTATTATTTCCTGAGTTATAGCTGTTTTAGTGACGTGACCTCGGTTCGTGTCCGACCGAGAATCAAAACTTTGAATGCGTTTTTCTCGGAACTACTTTTTTCGAGCTGGCGGTAAGGATATCTCGAGTTCTAATGAACCGATTTACTTCAAATTAGGAGAAGATCTTCTCTATACATCGCTTTATCGCGTGGACCTTGCCCAAAACTATAACTTTTCATTTAGTATTTTTAAAAAAATCGGAATTGTTTAAAAGAACATGAAAAATATTATTTTGTTCAAACTGCCGCTATTCAAACAATTTTTTTTTAACTTATCCAAGAATCATACGATAGCGGCATCTATAATAATTAAGAATCCATCTATTTTTTATGTTTTATGATCACCAGGAGGGTTGGAATCATGCACGCCAGGACACCCTCTTTTTTTTGAGTCCCCACTTTGACTGCTCATAACTTGGTGAATTTTTATTTTTTTTTAATAATTTTTTATGTAATAATAAAATACCAATAAACAAATGATAAAAAAAATCGATAGCAAAAATATTATTTGTTTACTTTATACAGCGCTTCAAAAACCGGGCGAAATTCATGCCTCTACCACGATCTCGAGTGCACAGATCAATCGATTTGAATAGATAAAAAAAACATTCAATTTCTATTGCATTTTAGATAGAAAATCTAACGTAGGAAACGCACTGATGTAAAAAAAAACGATGCTATGACAACTAGATCTTTGTGATATTATTTAATGGTTGAAGTTGCATTCTATGTGTAAAACCGCTGATCGTACAGCAAATGCATAGTATTATGACAGTATTTAGTATAATTTTGTATGAAATATACCACATAACATAGCCTTGCTTTTACATCAGTCTTTTTTACTGCAGAATCAGCCCATCAGTTTTTGAGAGATCGGTGTTATGAACTTCAATGATTCATAAAACATTTCACCTGTGAAATGAAAAAATAGTTAGATTTTTTAGAAGGTAGGTCCAACGGTTTTGGGGATTCAATAAAAAAATTAAAAAATGCCATATGGCAGTAAAAAATTATCATTGAATTATCAGAAATTTTACAGAGGTTTCAAAAATAAGTACAAATTTTGTTCACATTTATGAGTTGCCAAGATTTAC